CCATGAAGAACCACGCTGTAAATCTTGCAAACAAGGCAGCCAGGAAGCTTACAGCACTTCGCCGTATCTCGCATATGCTTAACAGTAGGGGTTGCAAGATTCTGTACGAGGCACAAGTACGCTCACACCTTGAGTATGCTCCACTTTCTAGGTTCGCCTGCCCCCCCCCCTCGTCCCCTCTCATCTGCGACTGCTTGACAGATTAGAGAACAGAGCAAGACGTCTCATCTCTCGCCTGGACTCATCCTGGATAGATCTGTCGTTTCAGCAGAGCCTTCAACACAGGAGGGATGTGGGTGGCCTTACTGTTGTGTACAAGGCCAACATTGTCAAAGTACCACACTTGGATCCACTTCGAGGACAGCGTGAAGCAAGTTTCTATACCACAAGACGGGCAGAAAGCAGCAGCTTCACTCGGTCTGTACCATTCTCCAGAACATCAATTCATCTGAGATCATTTATCCCCAAGATGACCCGAGTATGGAACACATTCGTACAGCATTATGATGTCAACGAGATAAAGTCAGTTGATCAAATGAAAATGCTGGCCCACAGATGGCTCCAACTTCATCTTGTTCCCTACTTGTATGTTCCATAACAATAAAAATCCTTTCAAATGAGCTGATGTAGGTAACAGCTCTTAGCTTGTCAATAAAGGTAGGAATCCTTAACCTGTAAATAGCTTGTCAATAAAACTAGGGATCCTTAACCTAATCTTGTCAAGAGAGAGAGAGAGAGAGAGAGAGAGAGAGAGAGAGAGAGAGAGAGAGAGGGGAGAGAGAGAGGAGAGAGAGAGAGGGGAGAGAGGGAGAGAGGGAGAGAGGGAGAGAGGGAGAGAGAGAGAGAGAGAGAGAGAGGAGAGAGAGAGAGAGAGAGAGAGAGAGAGAGAGAGAGAGAGAGAGAGAGAGAGAGAGAGAGAGAGAGAGAGAGAAGACGTCTCATCTCTCGCCTGGACCCATCTTGGATAGATTTGTCATTTCAGCAGAGCCTTCAACATAGGAGGGATGTGGGTGGCCTTACTGTTATGTACAAGGCCAATATTGTCAAAATACCACACTTGGATCCACTTCGAGGACAGCATGAAACATGCTTTTATGCCACAAGACGGGCAGAAAGTAGCAACTTCACTCTGGCTGTACCCTTCTCCAGAACATCACTCCATCTGAGATCATACATACCCAGGATGACTCGAGTATGGAACACATTCGTACAGCATAATGATGTCAACGAGATAAAGTCAGTTGATCAAATGAAAATGCTGGCCCACAGATGGCTCCAACTTCATCCTGTTCCCTACTTGTATGTCTCATAACAATAAAAATGCTTTCAAATGAGCTGATGTAGGTAACAGCTCTTAGCTTGCCAATAAAGTTAGGAATCCTTAACCTGTAAATAGCTTGTCAATAAAGCTAGGGATCCTTAACCTTGTCAAACCCTGTGTAAAAAAAAAAAAAAAAAAAAAAAAAGAAGAGGAGGACCTAGCATCACATTCCCGTTACCTGGGCCAACACCCCTGTACACGTGTGCGCGCGCGAACGATTGCACGTGCCAGCACACACACACACACACACACACACACTGCAGGAGGAGCCTGGTTAAGTGGAGGTGGAGTGTGTGTGTGTTCCGGCCTGAGTCACTCCGTCACGCTCTCATCAACACAGCTACTGTACTCTATGACGCACCACCTCCACACTAACACCCACGCAATCCTATACACACACACACACACACACACACACACACACACACACACACACACACACACACACACACGCCAAATATCTTAAGTGACAAGTGCCTTGGACAAAATGTTAGCACACCCACCAAACGACACGCGAAGAGGCAGGGCCAGAAGCTACGCCTCGACCCACGCAGCCACAAGTACCCAAGCACAACTAGGCTAGTAAGGTAAGGTATATCAAAGGTATAAAGGTACCGTATCCTTCACAGTATACATCTGTATATATATATACAATCACTGTCGCTTATAAAGTTCTGCTTTATGCTGCAATTTTCCGTAAATGCCATTGAAAAAGTTAATCCGAGACTCGACTGGCAGGTGAACTGGCAGGTGAACTGGCAGGTGAACTGGCAGGTGAACTGGCAGGTGAACTGGCACTAACAGAACTCCCTAGTTACTTAAGGAACTACTGTTTTATTCACAGCTATGAAAAATTATACTATATACAGAAGCTACCTTGCTACAGGTCAGGGCTACCTTGCTACAGGTCAGGGTTACCGTGCTACAGGTCAGGGTTACCGTGCTACAGGTCAGGGTTACCTTGCTACAGGTCAGGGTTACCTTGCTACAGGTCAGGGTTACCGTGCTACATGTCAGGGTTACCTTGCTACAGGTCAGGGTTACCTTGCTACAGGTCAGGGTTACCGTGCTACAGGTCAGGGTTACCTTGCTACAGGTCAGGGTTACCTTGCTACAGGTCAGGGTTACCTTGCTACAGGTCAGGGTTACCTTGCTACAGGTCAGGGTTACCTTGCTACAGGTCAGGGTTACTTTGCTACAGGTCAGAGCTGATGGTATATATGAAATATATCGTTACCATTTTCCCATAAAAATGGTACTGTATACCATTTTTAATGGTATACAGTACCTATAATACTAACGTTTCGCCCACGCCTGATCAACTCAAATAGCTCTTCCTAGAGAGAGAAAAACATAACACATTTCTCTTTCCAACACATCGATAACTGACAACATTTCTCTCCACAGCGCTGAAAAGTTGATAAGAAACGTGCAACACCTGGGTATCTATTTCTGACGACGTTTCGGCACTCAGCTGGCCTCTTCAATTCGATGGAAGTCATTGGACAAGGGTGTTGTGTAGAGGCTGTGCTTGTGTGGACGCAACACAAGGAGCAACACAAGATGTGAGGAGTCATTCTCCTTTTGCTTTGAGGGCAATTGTATGGAAGACTCGACCATGTTAGTGGTCTTAAATGCTGTTAGGTTGATGTACATAGTAATGACCAGGATATTATCGTACTGGCTTGAGAAAGCTCCAGGAGAGAGAGAGAGAGAGAGAGAGAGAGAGAGAGAGAGAGAGAGAGAGAGAGAGAGAGAGAGAGAGAGAGAGAGAGAGAGAGAGAGAGAGAGAGAGAGAGAGAGAGAGAGAGAGAGAAATGTTGCCGCAGTACAATGTCTAATCGCTTAAAAAGCATATCCGTTTATCTAACCTAGTGGAGACAAAGAACTTTGTCCTTGGAGGCAAAGAGGGGAATGTATGAGAGTATAGTTTTACCAACGCTCTTATATGGGTGTGAAGCATGGGTGATGAATGTTGCAGCGAGGAGAAGGCTGGAGGCAGTGGAGATGTCATGTCTGAGGGCAATGTGTGGTGTGAATATAATGCAGAGAATTCGTAGTTTGGAAGTTAGGAGGAGGTGCGGGATTACCAAAACTGTTGTCCACAGGGCTGAGGAAGGGTTGTTGAGGTGGTTCGGACATGTAGAGAGAATGGAGCGAAACAGAATGACTTCAAGAGTGTATCAGTCTGTAGTGGAAGGAAGGCGGGGTAGGGGGTCGGCCTAGGAAAGGTTGGAGGGAGGGGGTAAAGGAGGTTTTGTGTGCGAGGGGCTTGGACTTCCAGCAGGCATGCGTGAGCGTGTTTGATAGGAGTGAATGGAGACAAATGGTTTTTAATACTTGACGTGCTGTTGGAGTGTGAGCAAAGTAACATTTATGAAGGGATTCAGGGAAACCGGCAGGCCGGACTTGAGTCCTGGAGATGGGAAGTACAGTGCCTGCACTCTGAAGGAGGGGTGTTAATGTTGCAGTTTAAAAACTGTAGTGTAAAGCACCCTTCTGGCAAGACAGTGATGGAGTGAATGATGGTGAAAGTTTTTCTTTTTCGGGCCACCCTGCCTTGGTGGGAATCGGCCAGTGTGATAATAAAAAAAAAAATATTACAGGACAACATTCACATAGCCTAACCACCTGCGGTGTCTAGAGATGATGTCCTTGTAGAACTCTCACCCCAGGTGTCTCGCTCAGTACTGTCTTTGTTCATGACCGACCCCTCTCTTTATGAAATCCTCCCTCTCTCTCTCTCTCTCTCTCTCTCTCTGTTTATGACCGATCCCTCTCTCTCTGTTGCCTTGCAGTGTGGGGATGGACGTCAAGTCTTTGCACCTAATGGAAAACCCACACCTGTCACTGTGGTCAATACCCGCACCTGTGACTGTGGTCAATATCCACACCCGTCACTGTGGTCAATATCCACACCTGTCGCCGCTGTCCATAACCACCTATCAGTATGGTCAATACAACTGACACAAACACTGCTGGAACAAGTGTGGAAGTCTTCAAGAGGAAACTGGACAAGAATCTTCACCGGGTGCCAGATCAACCAGGCTGTGATAGATATGTGGGCCAGCGAGCCAGCAATAGCCTGGCTGACCAGGCAAGCACCAGACGGTCCTGGCCCATGGCCGGGCTCCGGGAGCAGAAAAACTCTCGGAACTCAAAAGGTATACCAAATGTATACAAGTGAGAGGCAGGTATACAATACCATTCGGTATTGTAAACAGAGGATATCTAACCAAGAAAGATCTCTAATGGATTCAAGCTGCACAAATAAAGATTATGAAACGATACACGGAAGTCTTTTCTAAGCAACATTGAGTGGAAGAAACTGAGAGAGATCCCTGAAGGTAGCACCTTGGGTACCTTCAAAAATGGGGTTTGAGAACCTGCCTAGCACGGGCCAGCACGTCTGTTGGGTATAAACTTCTAACAGATGGTATAAACCTTGGTAATAGATACCGACAAGCTGGTTTAGAAAAACACGTGAACAAACACTAGGACATTTGTTAGAAAACTTTCGGTCCTGGGATTTTGTTAGAAGTGAACAAGGTCTCAGGACCGAAACGCTTTCTAATACGTCCTAGTGTTTGCTCACGTGTCTTTCTAAACAGCTAACAGATACCAACAAGTGCTTAAGAAACGTGTGCAAATACTAGAATAAGTCTTAAGTGTCGCTCACCTGTTTGTGAAACCAGTAGACCTCCTGTAGTGCTCCTCCATTCTTAAGTTCTACTGCAGCACTGTCTACCCAGGGAAGGTGAGGCTTGTCTAATTCATCATCCTGTCATAGAACCGACAGGATGATGAATTAGACACTTGTGCAACACTTAGGTATTTTTATCGTGGAAACGTTTCGCCAGTCAGTGGCTTCCTCAGTCTCGTACAGAGAAGAATGGTTGAACATCAGGAGGAGTTTGAGGTAATCCGTCCCTCCGCCTGGAGTCGATGTGATCAGGCTGAGGGACTGACTACCTCAAACTACTCCTAATCTTCATCCATTCTTCTCTGTTTTGGACTGAGGAAGCCACTGGTTGGCGAAACGTTTCCCCAATATAAAGATATCCAAGTATTCCACAAGTAACTAATTAATCAAAGGAAGGCTTATACACAAATAACCCACACATAGGAGAGAGGAGCTTACGACGACGTTTCGGTCCGACCTGGACTATTTACAAAGAGACACTAACAGAAAGGAGAGAAGGCAGTGTATATAGGTCAGAAGACAGGGACGGGACAAGAGAGGAAGCAGAGGTGGTGGTGGTAGTAGTAGTAGTAGTAGTAGTAGTAGTAGTAGTAGTAGTAGTAGTAGTAGTAGTAGTAGTAGTAGTAGTAGTAGTGGAGTCAAAGACCAAGGAAGAGGAGCGCTGCAAGAGAGCTTACCTGCAAGGCATGTTGACGGTCCTTGTAGAAGATAATAGCGTGTCCCTGGACCACGGCCCACACTGCCTTCCACGACCGGTCACCAGCTTTCTGAAAGCACAACAAAAGCTTCGTAATACCATCAGCACAAGAACAAAAGTCATACACAAATAACCCTCAAATAGGAGAAGCTTGTGACGACCTTTCAGTCCGACTTAGACCATTTACAAGTCACACTAACACACGAAGGTGGAGAGCCAGTGTAAATAGAAGAGGGGGATGGGGACGGGAAAAATAGAGGAAAGAAGTAGAGTAATGGTAGAGATAATGGTGGTAGTGGTAGTATTAATACAGTATTGTAATGTATTGTTACAGTCACAGTATTGTGTTTTTGTGGTTTTTACAAATGTTATAGTGAAAGTAGAGGTATATTAGCAGTATAATAGTACAATAATAGTATATTATAATAGTATATTATAATCCCACAAGGTTCATAGTAAAAGTAGTAGAGTAATAGTATGGTAGCCATAGTAGTATAGTAATAGTAGTAGTATCAGAAGGATATCAACTTTCAAATTTGATAAAGGTTTACTTCTCTGCAGACCACATTTATCATGAGGGAAACACTAAACTCGTAGGGAATATACAGCCTGCCAGACCACAAGCTAGAGCAACTAACGAACCACTTATAGCTACCTAACTGTTATGGTCAATGTATTTCCTGTTAACGGTACTGTTTAAGGGGAGAACTACGGTAGTGCAATGGGAAATCCACCGACCAAATAAAATTGAGATAGAGGATGACGTTTATGTTTCTCCAAAAATTACATTTTCAGACCTTCATAGGTAAAATAAAATAATTTTTAAAATGCCATCAAATACAATTGGAAATTGTTGATGTTTTAATTAGTATTTTTTATGCTATGACAAGTGAAAATATCTGTAGTAATGTCCACGCCTCCCTCCCCCCTCCCTCCCATGTACGTGACTGCAACTACACGAGAGACTGAAATCTGCACACTAATAATTAAATAGAGGTTAATTGTAGAGTCAAACTACGATGCATCAGCTCCAAACTTTCAACACAGCCATTCTCTGTCAAAGCAGTGAGATCTTCCCACTAAATACTTGGATTCAGGTGACTAATACATGGACCGTTATCACTAAGGTAGGTTGACCCCCAAGGATACCTTCGATGAGTTCCCGGAGTTTTTCCTGCTCCCAGAGCCCGGCCTTGGGCCAGGCTCATTTAGTTGCTTGCCTGGTCTTTCCAGAAGTGCACAAGGCATCAATCACTCAGCAAGCACTGCAATTACCACTTCCGGAGTTCAAGTCCGGCTAATCAGTTTCCCTGAATTCCTTCACACACGTTACCTTGTTCACACTATAACAACCCTTAACTTAAAAACTATTTGTCTCCATGTGATATACAATATACTCCAGTCATTACCACTATAAAACTTCTTTCAGAACCTTCTATTTTTTTATGTGATGTTCCCTACCCCTTTCGCTCACCCTAGATTAATCAACGTACAATCAAGCCCATCTTAACAGTGCTCCACTTTTGAGCGTTTCACTAATGCAGCGGTTTTCAATTATACCCATCCTTCAGTTATGCAGACTTCCTACAATAAATATAATCATTCTCTGTAAGTTAAGGATGAAAATATTCTAAGGGAGTAATGTGTGTACTGTATATGTATTTTTTAGGCCTAACTATACTACTCGCTTAATATAAACACGTTATCAGGCTTTTATATGCATTTGAAAGTGAAAAAAGGCTATGATTCATTTTACAGCGAGTTTCGCTTTACAGCAGTAGCCTGGAACCTGACCTGCTGTATTAGCAAGGATCTGGGGGAATGAGGGGCATTCACACTCAATTCAAGGAATTGGAGTGTAAATTCAACTCCTCAGATCAACAGCCCCTCACCAGCATCAACCAACCTCCCTTGAAGGGGACTAGATTAATCATATCACTAACGTGTGAGGCTCGAACCCATGGTAAGTAAGCCTTAAAACTCGGGGCCAGTGCTCTATCCACTGGACAATATCGGCTAAAGATTCATCCAACTAAGTATATTTCTATACACCACAGGAAGGTTAGCATGGGTCCCATTGACCACAACGCAGGTTTTCACGGATGAATCTCAAACCAGCATAGCTGTGGCGTGGTTCCAGTCCCTTCAAAGCCGTTATCATGACTCACGAAACCATAATAACACAATTGCAAACACACGATGACTTCATTCTCAGCATGCATCACCACCAAGCTGCAGTCCAGCATAACAGCAATGAATGTAAGCAGGTCAGATGATATGGACAAAACGAAGATAATGTTGAGTGTGGAGGTGCGTCCTTCACTAGGTAAAAGCTCAACCCAGACTGATGTGTGAAGCAGCCTACCCATTACACGAGGTCAATATTAAAATGGTATACGATATCCATAGGTTGATAAAACATATGTAACAGTTAGGTATCTTTACTCTGAAACGTTTCACCTTCAGTCGAGTACAGAAGAGTTAGCAGAAGTACTTTAAGACGTAGTTTTGAGGTGGTCAGTCCCTCACATCTCTACTGCTTCTGCTGACTCTTCTGTACTCGACTGAAGAAGCCTATTGTGTATAAAAAAAACTAACTGTTGCATATGTACACGAGGTCAGCTGACATGAGGCAAGTCATACACTCCTCCAAACCAACAAACTTGGGTTACTTCTCTATGCCGAGGTATGTCCTTGTTTATACAGTAATAAACCTGATAAAACAGCTACTATATACATAGAAATGACATTTGAGATCCCAATATATAGATAAACAAACCAGCAAGTATGGTATAAACCTTGGTAATAGAGACCTACAAAATGGTTTAGAAAGACAAGTAAGCAAACACTACAAAACGTTTCGGTCCTGGGACCTTGATAAATATGTCCTGGTGTTTGCTCACGAATTATATTATAAAGAGGCTGAAAATTACCATTCTAGTTGTAAATGATAATACAAAAGTAGATAAATATATTCTAAAGATTTAAGAAACTATTTTATACTGAAAAGAAGAGTGGCAGGAGTGCCACAAGTGTCACTGAGAGGAGCATAAGTGCCACAAGTGTCACTGAGAGGAGCAGGAGTGCCACAAGTGTCACTGAGAGGAGCAGGAGTGCCACAAGTGTCACTGAGAGGGGTAGGAGTGCCACAAGTGTCACTGAGAGGGGTAGGATTGCCACAAGTGTCACTGAGAGGGGCAGGAGTGCCACAAGTGTCACTGAGAGGGGTAGGATTGCCACAAGTGTCACTGAGAGGGTAGGATTGCCACAACTGTCACTGAGAGGGGTAGGATTGCCACAACTGTGACTGAGAGGGGTAGGATTGCCACAAGTGTCACTGAGAGGGGCAGGATTGCCACAAGTGTCACTGAGAGGGGCAGGATTGCCACAAGTGTCACTGAGAGGGGCAGGATTGCCACAAGTGTCACTGAGAGGGGCAGGATTGCCACAAGTGTCACTGAGAGGGGTAGGATTGCCACAAGTGTCACTGAGAGGGGCAGGATTGCCACAAGTGTCACTGAGAGGGGCAGGATTGCCACAAGTGTCACTGAGAGGGGCAGGATTGCCACAAGTGTCACTGAGAGGGGCAGGATTGCCACAAGTGTCACTGAGAGGGGCAGGATTGCCACAAGTGTCACTGAGAGGGGCAGGATTGCCACAAGTGTCACTGAGAGGGGCAGGATTGCCACAAGTGTCACTGAGAGGGGCAGGAGTGCCACAAGTGTCACTGAGAGGGGCAGGATTGCCACAAGTGTCACTGAGAGGGGTAGGATTGCCACAAGTGTCACTGAGAGGGGCAGGATTGCCACAAGTGTCACTGAGAGGGGTAGGATTGCCACAAGTGTCACTGAGAGGGGCAGGAGTGCCACAAGTGTCACTGAGAGGGGCAGGAGTGCCACAAGTGTCACTGAGAGGGGCAGGAGTGCCACAAGTGTCACTGAGAGGGGTAGGATTGCCACAAGTGTCACTGAGAGGGGCAGGATTGCCACAAGTGTCACTGAGAGGGGCAGGATTGCCACAAGTGTCACTGAGAGGGGCAGGATTGCCACGAGTGTCACTGAGAGGGGCAGGAGTGCCACAAGTGTCACTGAGAGGGGCAGGATTGCCACAAGTGTCACTGAGAGGGGCAGGAGTGCCACAAGTGTCACTGAGAGGGGCAGGATCACCACAAGTGTCACTGAGAGGGGCAGGAGTGCCACAAGTGTCACTGAGAGGGGTAGGATTGCCACAAGTGTCACTGAGAGGGGTAGGATTGCCACAAGTGTCACTGAGAGGGGAAGGATTGCCACATGTGTCACTGAGAGGGGCAGGATTGCCACAAGTGTCACTGAGAGGGGTAGGATTGCCACAAGTGTCACTGAGAGGGGAAGGATTGCCACAAGTGTCACTGAGAGGGGCAGGATTGCCACATGTGTCACTGAGAGGGGCAGGAGTGCCACAAGTGTCACTGAGAGGGGCAGGATCACCACAAGTGTCACTGAGAGGGGCAGGATTGCCACAAGTGTCACTGAGAGGGGCAGGATTGCCACAAGTGTCACTGAGAGGGGCAGGAGTGCCACAAGTGTCACTGAGAGGGGCAGGAGTGCCACAAGTGTGACTGAGAGGGGCAGGAGTGCCACAAGTGTCACTGAGAGGGGCAGGAGTGCCACAAGTGTCACTGAGAGGGGCAGGGTTGCCACAAGTGTCACTGAGAGGGGTAGGATTGCCACAAGTGTCACTGAGAGGGGTAGGATTGCCACAAGTGTCACTGAGAGGGGTAGGATTGCCACAATTGTCACTGAGAGGGGTAGGATTGCCACAAGTGTCACTGAGAGGGGTAGGATTGCCACAAGTGTCACTGAGAGGGGTAGGATTGCCACAAGTGTCACTGAGAGGGGTAGGATTGCCACAAGTGTCACTGAGAGGGGTAGGATTGCCACAAGTGTCACTGAGAGGGGCAGGAGTGCCACAAGTGTCACTGAGAGGGGCAGGATTGCCACAAGTGTCACTGAGAGGGGTAGGATTGCCACAAGTGTCACTGAGAGGGGTAGGATTGCCACAAGTGTCACTGAGAGGGGTAGGATTGCCACAAGTGTCACTGAGAGGGGTAGGATTGCCACAAGTGTCACTGAGAGGGGTAGGATTGCCACAAGTGTCACTGAGAGGGGTAGGAGTGCCACAAGTGTTACTGAGAGGGGCAGGAGTGCCACAAGTGTCACTGAGAGGGGCAGGAGTGCCACAAGTGTGACTGAGAGGGGCAGGACTGCCACAAGTGTCACAGAGGGGCAGGATCACAAGTATCACTGAGAGGGGCAGGAGTGCCACAAGTGTCACTGAGAGGGGCAGGAGTGCCACAAGTGTCACTGAGAGGGGCAGGATCACCACAAGTGTCACTGAGAGGGGCAGGAGTGCCACAAGTGTCACTGAGAGGGGCAGGATCACCACAAGTGTCACTGAGAGGGGCAGGATCACCACAAGTGTCACTGAGAGGGGCAGGATCACCACAAGTGTCACTGAGAGGGGCAGGAGTGCCACAAGTGTCACTGAGAGGGGTAGGATCACCACAAGTGTCACTGAGAGGGGCAGGATCACCACAAGTGTCACTGAGAGGGGCAGGATCACCGCAAGTGTCACTGAGAGGGGTAAGACCACCACAAGTGTGACTGAGAGGGGTAGGATCACCACAAGCAGGGTGCCATGTATGAGGTGAGTAGTATGCCTTAGCCTCAATGTACTGAGAATCTTCTCACAGTAACAGTTCTTGTGGAAAAAGAAGGGTCAAACTCTTATGGTCTGCTAAGCTGTATATCTGTAGGTCGTACTGGGCCTCCCACTGCTGGTGGATCTACCAGTTTATGTGGATAGGACAAGCTGAGAACAGCGATTGCAGCAGCAGTGAAGAGGTTGAATATCACCTGCCCTCAGTATACATCAGAAGAGGTACAGGAGTGCTATTACCTACGTTAAAGTCCAACAAGGCGAATTAGATGTAAGAAAAACCACGGAGAGCTGGACGCAAGAATGCATACGTCAACAGACGTACAGGAACGCTGTAATCTACTTTACAGTCCACCAAGGCGAATGGGGTATCAAAAAATATACACCAGAAGACGTAAATCAGCGGTTGGACCTACCTTGCCGTCCACCATGGTGAGTTTGACGTGGAGAGCGCCCTGCCTGAGCACATCTGCCTGCAGAGAGGCAGGGGAGGGCAATTCACCTACACACGAGGAATCAACGAGGGAGGACACACCCCCTGCCCTCAACACCTCGCCTTCCTCTAGACGCACACCACTGAAATTATAACAAAATCCACACATTAACAATTATAAAATTTAATATATATATATATATATATATATATATATATATATATATATATATATATATATATATATATATATATATATATGCAATAAAATCACAGTAAACAGGTGATTTCAGAATATGCAAAACAACCACTGTGAAAGAATAGAGAAATTCTAAGCGCTTTCGTGACTACTCACATTATCAAGGAACAATGAAAGTAATGCATCAAAGGAAGGCATATATAGGGTCTAGACCACACCTCACTATCACATCCCACAACAAAGCAACACCTAGCACGCGACTCCTAAGAAAGGGAACACTGCAGCAGGTCCACTGGCGCAACTAGACAGGTCCTTCACACAACCCACGAACAAACTATTCTACCCAAGAATTAAGAATTTTAAAATTTATTATTTGTCCAATGTATTATTAAAATAATAAATTTTAAAATTCTTAATTCTTGGGTAGAATAGTTTGTTCGTGGGTTGTGTGATGGACCTGTCTAGTTGGGCCAGCGGACCTGCTGCAGTGTTCCCTTTCTTATGAGCCGCGCGTCAGGTGTTGCTTTGTTGTGGGATGTGATAGTGAGGGGTGGTCTAGACCCTTTATATGCCTTGCTTTGATGCATTACTTTTATTGTTCCTTGATAATGTGAATAGTCACGAAAGCGCTTGGAATTTCTCTATTCTTTCACAGTGGTTGTTTTGCACACACACACACACACACACACACACACACACACACACACACACACACACACACACACACACACACACCCCACACATATATATATATATATATATATATATATATATATATATATATATATATATATATATATATATATACTGGCTGGCTTTTGCACAACCTATTGTTTACAGACAGCTACTTTACAATTATTAACAACCGCTGAAGCTGGTTTGCTTATTAGTTACTAATTACTCTAAGGTAATCTGAAAAAGAGTTTCATGGGGGAAATAGTTTCCCGGTACCGCAGCACTGAAACCACCAGTTGCCAGCGACTCAAAGCCTACCGTTGTCTCTCACCTTAAGCATATAAGGCAAAGGGTAATTTTCAGAGACTTGTTTTTGTGATAAAAAAAAAAACGCGCCTAATGTCCGGAATATACGGTACATCATACTGACTTTCCTATAGGTTATCCTATAGAAACTGGATAATAATTTTTGAAGGGGTGAACTAGTAAGCCAGTGGAAGATATCGGTCACATAACCAAACGTTCCTACAACGAGTCATCATATGACTAAGACTCGCGTCAGGAAAACACTTGTCCTATTTCCTGACGAACCTACCTAACGTAACTTGATGCACTTATCCAAGCTGCCTGTTCACCTACAAGGATGAGAGATGTTATCAATGGAAATAAGTCACTCTGTCTGACTTTTTTGGGTTATCCTAGGTTCTCTACACATATGCTGCTATGTATGATAATTCTATGTAACTGTATTTGTGTATACCTGAATAAACTTACTTACTTACTTACTTACTTAATCAATCATTCGAATGAGGAGCGCAAATGCAACGTTTTACGCTAGTCTGCCATCAAGAGTGCATTACAGAAAACACCTTAACTCACGAGTCATGGTAGACTTGTGTAACTGATATGAACACATTAAGTAAGTTTATTCAGGTAGAGGTACACAAAAATACAGTTACATAAATTGTAATACATAGCAGCATATGTGTAGATTACCTAGGATAACTATTTATCCTGACAAAATACAAGTACTACAGCCTCGATTCTGCCCCTGTGACTACCATGTGCTTGGGCCGCTGAGAAGGTGCTAGGAGAGCAGTGTGTCCTCACAGATGATGTCGATGGCTACGTAATGGACTGACAGAATTCTATACGGACAAGACATTAACAAACTGGTAACATGTTGGGTTAAATATCTCAATAAGCTGGGAGATTATGTGGAAAAAGACTAGTGAACATATTCAAAATGGCTAGGTTGTATTTTTTGTCAAGAAAAGATAATGAATGCAAATTTTTTTTCGATCTGTCCTCGTATTTGGAGGAGAGAGGAGGAGGGAGGAGCGAAGAACAAAACGATGGAAAGAACGAGGAGCAAAAGGAGGGAGAGGACATAAGACAGAATTTTGTTGAGGTTTTAAACCCAGAAAGGTGTCACCCAGGATATCCCAGTCCCGTCGAGGACTGTCTGATTTCCATTGCGGTCCTTTAATCTTGTCCCTCAGGATGCCACCCACGACTAACACCCAGGTACCTACTTAGTGCTAGAACAACAGGGGCAGCAGGTGTAAGGAAACATAACCAACACTGCCATCCGTGCCGGGAATCAAATCACGAATACCCACTATGTGAGCTGAGTGCACTATCAACCAAGCCACAGAAGGCGACTTGATTTGGCTAATAACGAAGGGATAATAAGCCAGGCTAACACACGACAACCAAGCAGTCTGAAAATCTTAAGAGACACGTAAGTTCCCCTACCGTCTAATAACATGCTCATTTTCCCACTATAATCTACCTTGTCCATAATTATTATGGCATTTGTTTTGTCAATTGTGTTGTAGAGGTCAGAGCTGTGCTCAGACCTCTACAACACAACTGTCCTCAAAGATTTGTTAAGTTATACCATGAATTAAGGAATGATTTTAGACTTCACCTTACGAAAACAAAGGAAATGAGACAGTAATTATGGACAAGGTATAGATTATAGTGGGAAAAATTAGCATGTTATTAGAAGACAGGGGTACTTACGCGCCCCTTAACAGCACACACTTACCTTCTCTCGTCGTTATCAGAGTCGAGGTCGGAGTCGGAATACATACGATCCCCAGAAGTTGCTTTCAGATACGATACTCGTCGTACCAGCCTCTCACCCTCGTCAC